GGATGCCAAAGGACAGCCGTGTGAAGTTTTGCCACTTTCCTTAGGCCTTTTCATCCCTGATACATCCACACAACAGAAGTGGAATTTCTGTTTCTGCTTCTAGGTTGATTCTAGGTGATAACACAGAGAACGATACTCAGATATCTCATATTGGGAGGCTATTTGTGATACTATCAGTCATTAGCTTTCTGTTTGTTCCTAGATGTATCCATAAAATGCAGTAATTAAGAGCACAGTCAAACCAGACTGCTGCATTCCAAATCCCACCTGATCATGGGCTATTGTGATCTTGATCAAGTGACTAAACCTCTGTGTCTCTTCTTTTATAAAGTGAGGATAAGGGCCGGGTGTGGTGGCACATACCTCTAATCCAAGTGGCTCAGGAGGCTGAGGCAGGAGGATCACAAGTTCAAAGCCAGCTTCAGCAACTTAGCAAGGCCCTAAGCAACTTAGCGAGACCCTGTCTCAAAATAAAATATTAAAAAGGGCTGGGGATGTGGCTCAGTGGTTAAGTACACCGGGTTAAATCCCTAGTATCAAAATAAATAAATAAGGTGAAGATAGGAACAGTACCCAACCTGTAAGGTGGAGAGTTAGCACATATAAAATGCATGGGACAGAGCTTGACAAGTGATAAAGGCTTGGTAAGTTTTATTGATCACAGTGGTTCCTTGGTATCCATCCATGTGGGTTGGTCCTAGGACCCCCCTGAATAAAAAAAATCTAAGGATGCTCAGGTCTCTTGTAGTATTTGCACATGACCTACACACCCTCTTGCCTGCCTTAGATCGTCTCCAGATTACTTAAAACACCCAATACAATATAAACAGTTTTATACTGTATTGTTTAGCGAATAATGGCAAAGATTCTGTTGCTCTACACTACAGACACATTTTTTTTAAAAAGATGTTTTGGTTCCATGGTTGATTGTGTCCTTGGATGTGGAAACTGGATATGGAGCACTAATTGCATTTTCATCCTGTTTGCTCAGTACCCACAACGTGTGGAACACAGATCACTGACTTTGTAAAATAAATGTTCTTGAGTTAGCTGATAATAAAATTACCTACTGATCAGTTTCCACTGTGGAGTTATTAAAATAAGACACAAGTTCCCATAATACACTGGTCACATGTTCTTCAGAACTTTTGACTCAGAATAGGTGTGTTTGTGGAGGCACATCCTCATCACCATCATCCTGTCCCCCTTAGCGACAAGGAGAAGCTTCGCGAAAGAATACTGTGTCCATTGGCCATTTTCCATTGGCCAGTCAGAGACCATCCCAACAGGGCAGGAGGGATCACGGTGAGGCAGCAAGAGCCAATAATCTGGTCTCAGTAATTTCAGCAGCCACATGGGAAGAACAGGTTTCTCCGATAGGGCGCCCTCCGTAGCCTCATTTGGAATCCAGTGACCCATTCTCTCTTCAAGTGCCAGTGTGGCCACTGCTTAGCAACAGGAGTTTATTTGGGTTCATTTGTTCCCATTCAGTACACCACTTTAGGGACAAATTTTTCACCAAGCCCACCCAGATGGTTAGCCCTCCCACATGTCAGACTGATGAACAGGTACTCTGGGACTTGCTATGTTTTGAATGCACATGTCCCTCAAATTCATATGTTGGAATCTGAAACTCAGTGTGATAGTGTTACAAAGTGAACTGTTTGGGGGACCCATTAAATCACGAGTGTGCTACCCTCATGCATGGAATTCGCATGCATATAAAGGTGGCTGAAGGTGGCCCGCTAGTCCATCTTCTACCTTCATGTGAGGACGCAGCATCAGGAAGCAGAGAGCAGAGAGCAGAGTCTGTCTGCTTGATCTTAGGCTTGTCAACCTCCAAAACTGAGAAATTAGTTTCTATTATTCATAAATTTCCCAGTCGGGTGTATTGTGTAAAAGCAGCAGACAGATAAGATAGGATCTCAGTAGATTCTGGGAAGGAATCATAGAAGGCTACCTGGTACTCCTATAAGCTTTGTAGACAATGAATTTTGAGGTCCTGGGTTACCTCCTCTGTCAAGATTTTAGAAAAACCTGTTCATAGGAAATAGTTTATTCAGAAGCCTTATGCTACGTGAAGAAAGGCAGAAGAACAACTGTAGGACCACTCCAGTGTTGGGTTCCCCCTCTTCCCCATGTGTGCACTGAGTGGTCAGCTCTTAGAAACAGCCCTGGCTGGGTGAAATTGGAAAGTAACCCACAGGACAACACAGTGAAGGGGGAGAGACCCAGGATGCAAGACTAAGGGTCCAAGTGGAACAAGAAAAGAATGTTCTTACCTTTGACAAGGAAGGGACATCAAAATAAATAAATGACAGGGAGAGGAGAGGAAAATTTTGAGGTAGAGGGCAGAGAAGTTGAAGGTATAGAAATTAATATTGGTTTCCTCGTATAGCAAACAAAGAGATCACCCTCCACAGAGACAAGCAGGCCCTCGCTGGAATCTCAAGGAGGACTGAGAGTCACAGAAAAGTCCAGCATCTTTTCTATTTTCCACTTCCACTGCCTTCAGAACTGATCCTGTGAAAGAAACACTTCTCAACAAACATGCTCAATGATCCTTATTTGTCAGCTCTGAGATTTTTTTTTTTTTTTTGAATTGGGGATTGGACCCAGGGATGATGTACCACTGAGCCACACTCCCAGCCCTTTTATTTTCTATTTTGAGACAGAGTCTTGCTAAATTGCTGGGGCAGGGGATGGAGATATAGCTCTGTGGTACAGCAGCGGTACAGTATCCCTGGGTTTATGGTCAACCTTAGCAATTCAGCAAAGCCCTAAGCAACTTAGCAAGACCTTGTCTCAAAGTGGGGAGGGGCTTGGGATGTGGCTCAGTGGTAAAGTATCCCTGGGTTCAATCCCCAATTCAAAAATAAAATCTCAGATTGTCCTTCATAGGTCTCATCCTTCATCACCTCTTCAATATTGTCCCTAATGTTCCATTTTTTTTTTTTTGTACCAGATATTGAACCCAGGGGTGCTTAACCTGAGCCACATCCCCAGCCTATTTTATTTTGAGAAGCATCTTGCTAAGTTGCTGAAGGCTGGCCTAAAACTTGCAATCCTCCTGCCTCAGCCTCCTGAGCTGCTGGAATTACAGGTGTGCACCACTGAGCCTGGCTTGTTCCTTTCATCTTCAGTGTTCTTCTTGCACCATTCATTCTTTTATTTTGTGTGGGATACTGTCGATTGAACTCAAGGGCACTTGACCACTAAGTCACATCCCCAGCCCTGTTTTGTATTTTATTTAGAGATGGGATCTCAACTGAGTTGCTTAGTGCTTTGCTTTTGCTGAGGCTGGCTTTGAACTCTTGATCCTCCTGCCTCAGCCTCCTGAGCTGCTGGGATTATAGGTGTGCAGTCAGCGACCATTCACCTTTCATGTCTCATTTCTTCTTGAAGACTCAGTTCTTAACTCCACAGGAAGCATTCTTTGATCTCGAGTAGTAGGAACAACCTCCTTTCCTATACAGCCACAAATACTGCTCTAACTTGGGATATGTTTTGCAATTTTCCTTGCACTGTGCTTATTTTATACTCTCCACATCTTCCTATTATGTCATAAACTTGAAGACAGAATTTTGCCTCATTCAACCTTATTCTCCACAATACATCATACTCCAGTACGAAATATACAGTCAGACTCTTATATCTGAGGGGTTTGCATCTGTGGATTCAATGTATGTTGGATTGAAAATATTTGGAAAAAAATTGTAGCTGTACTAAAGGCATTCAGACTTTTTTTCATGTCATTATTCCCCCAAAAATACAGCATTGCAACTATTTGCAGAGTATTTACATTGTGTTAGGTATTAAAAGTAGTCATGAGATGATTTAAAGTATAAGGGAGAACTATATGAATTATATGCAAATACTGCACCATTTTATATACCCACATGGATACAGAGTAACAACTCTGTTTAGCTAAAAGAAATACTCTATTAATGTTTATTGATGCTAATGCTTAAAATTTTAGCCATGGATGTTTGGAAGTTTCTGGTTATGGTCCTGAACAAGTTGGTTGTTATTGACATATTACTTTATGCATATGCATTCCTGGAACATAAATCCACCCATCCATCCATCCATCCATTCATTCATCCCTGTGTTATTCAGTACAAATTTATTGAATATCTAATATATGCAAAGTATGTGCATCATAGGGTTGGTGTTGGCTGACCTTGTGTAGTGTACCCATTCATCAATGGAGTACCCATCCATCGATGTTTATGTCATGTTGTTTACCTGTTTTCCAAACAAAGGGGAGCAAAGAGGCACTGCACATCATCATTACTAGCCAAGAGCAATATGTAATAGGAATGACCTTGACTTAAATTGCGACCTCTTGGGTCAGAATAAGCCTTGTAATGCATACTGAACAAGACGTGGTTTTAACATTGACATAGAATTCTCGCTTTTCAGAGGTTCATTTTCATGTTTGTTTGGAGACTTTCTTTAAGAGGACAACAATTACATTCCTGCTGCCCCCCACCCCCCAAGCAATTATTTTTCTGGCATTCATTCAACGAAAAGGTTCAAGTGCACTTTTTCAGATTGAAGTAAACTCCAATGAAAATTTAAAATCAATGCTTTCCATCTAATAACGTTAATAAAAAAAAGAGGAACACGTCCAATTTTGTAATTATAATCCATATATAAAAAGGGACGTGGCTACAATATCCATCTTAAGAAGTAGGTTGTTTTTAAATAATCAGGCAACTTTTTAAAGTTGCTGTATATATAGTACTTTAAAAAAAGAAGATACCCGTGCATCTGACCCTGATGCCCAGCTAAAAGGTTGGATAACTGTTCCTACCCACAGCCTTTGTCCTTACATCGCGGATGGGAGGGGTGGGGACCCAGGCCAGTCTCTTGCTTCCTAAGGACCCATTACCCATTGGGGACCCAATCTATCTGTGCCTCCTTCAGCCAGGAGCCTCCAGATCTTTCCAGACTTCCTTGCAACACTCCCGATGCAGTGGATGCCTGGCTTTCGCAGGCTGGCGTTGGCAGCCAGTCTCCCTCGCGCGCCTCTGCCGTCCCCATCTCCCTCTTTTCTCCCACGGCCCATCTGCCCCTCCTTCCCTCCACCCCCTCTCCTCGCTGCTCCCCTTTATTTCCACTCCTCGCCCTCGCGCTGCGCTCGCCCTCCCCCTCGGCTGCGCTCGTCTGTATTTGGAGCTCCCGGAAGCCGGCGACTCTCCCCGGGAGCAGCGTGACCGACTCCCATTCAGGGGGGAGGAGGCAGCGGGAGGAGCAGGGGAGGGCCGGCGGGCGGAGGGTGCCGGTGGCCGCGCACGGCTTGGCATCGCGAGGACCGGACCCCGGGGCGCCGGAGCAGGTAATCGGGGCGCCGCGCTGGCAGGGGCGGGCGCAGGTGCAGGGGCCCCGCGGCCGCGCTGGCCAGTTGCGCCCCCGGCCGCGGTGCGAAGCTGCGGGGTCGCGGCGGCGCTTGGGGAATAAAGGCGGCGCGGGGTCTGCGGGCTGCGGGCTGCGCCGACCCGACCCCGGGAGCGGGGCGCGGCGTGCACGGCCCCATCTGGGTCAGCGCACGGTGCGCTCCGCCCGCGCCGCCTCCTCGGCCCCGGCCCCGCAGCTCCGGAGGCGGGTGCGGGCGGAGGCGGGCTGGGAGCTGCCGGTCGCCGAGGCCTGCCCACCCGGAGCCGCCGCAGCCGCGGCCGGTCCAACTTTGGGGGGAGTCTCGCCCACTCGGATCTGACGCTCGTGAGGCTCCCGGGGCAGGAGGGGGGGTTGGTGTCCTTGAGACGGAGCTGACCAGAGCCACCCCGATCAGAAAGTGCTGGAAAGAAACCGACCTGGCCTCTCCGCAGAACCTGACTTGAGGCCATGAGTCACTTGTTAAAAATGCAAAGACAACTGAGGCATGGAGCGACAGCTCCGAAAATGTACCCCGCAGCTGCTCTCGGACTGCTTAGGGTAGAGGGTTGTTGGTAAAAGTAGCCGCCTCGTCATCACTCGGAGGGCCAATAACCGGGCGTGCAGATGGGAATCTTTATTCTCATCAGCACCACAGATATGCTGCAAGTTGGGGCGATATTTGAATTCATGCATTCTTTAAAATGAGTGAATGTAGGTGACTGCATTTAGCATAGTGAAGCTGGGTTAGGTCCAAACCGCCAAGGTGAAGAGGAACACTTGGCTCAAAGGTCAAGGACCTTTGGCTACGTGGTCATGACTGCAGAAGCCTATGAGACTTAGGCACCACCGCTTACCAGAATTGTTGGTAGAGCCTGTATCTCTTCTGCTTGTCCAAATTTCTTTTAATTTAAGGAATGTGCCTTAGAATGTTTGATAAAACGTCTAGGTCCACTTTGGGAAGGATTACAACATAAGTGTGATCTTTAGGGTAATTATGTTATTAGAGTCTAATTAGACTGTAAGCATATTGAGGGCAAGGAGGGTGTGGGGGTGGTATAACAGTCCATAGAAATTCACTCAGTATATTGTGAATAGGCAGTGAAAGTTTGTGTAAATAATCAGGTGAATAGTTTTAAGTGTGACCATAACTTGACAAGACTGTATATTTGCAAGAAAAGCCTATTTCTCCATGGATCCCCAAATCTAAAAATCCTTAATAAAATTAGAATCAAGGGGTCCTGTAACTATTTACTAAGGATAAAAAGAAAAAGAAGCTGACTTTGAGAAATCAGGAAGATAACTACCAAGGTGCTTTGCTAATAGGAAGTAGGTGTTGGCTGTTTTTCTTTGAAACAAGAAATAATTTAACTTATTGAGTAAAAAACCAGAGAGTAAATATGTTGGCTTTGCTGGCCATGTGGATTCTTTGGTAATGATTAGGTTTTCATAGGTTGAAAGCAGCCAAAGATAACATCAAGGAATGGTGCAACCTTGGTTCACTTTATTTGTGGATATTGAAGTTTGAAGGTCATGTAATTTTCACCAGGAACAAAATATTCTTTTTTTTCCCCCAGGCATTAAAAAAAAATGTAAAAACACTATTCTTAGCTTAGGGGAGGAGGGAAAATACACAGGAGAGGAGAGGAGAGTAGGTTGGTCCTGCTGGCTGGACTCTGCCTTCCTGCCCACCCCGAGTTAGAAAGGAACCTTTTGAAAGGATTAATGGGCTAGATTTTCTAAATGCCAAAACTATACCCAAAGAGTTAAATTAAACACCTTCAAGAAGAGCATTAACTTATTTTGGGGCCTTATGGTCTTTCGTTTTGAATATTTAACGTTATGCAAGAAGTTTTGTTTTTAATTCATCAATTATATGATATTTTATACATAAAAATAATGTTAATAAGTCTATGTAACCTAGGAACATTATGTTCAAATGAACACCTACGAGCCCATTACCACCCATCACCAGCTTAAAACTAAGGCTTAAGAACTAGATCGTTTTGAAAAAAATAGCTCATCGAGTGGGAAGAAATATTTAAAAATCATATCGATGAGGGACTTATATCCACAATATATAAAGACCTATTAAAACTCAATAATAAAAAGATAAGTAGCCCAATTTAAAACTGGACAAAAGATCTGAATAGATATTTCTCCAAAGAAGATATACAAATGACCAATAAATGCATGAAAAAAAAATGCTCCACATCATTATTCATCAGGAAAATGCAAGTCAAAACTACACTGCATAACTTCTTGATCCTGGCTGACAGCAGTCATAAAAGGGGAAGGTAATTAGGAGGGTGGGTGAGGGAGGAAGCACTGCAAGCCTCAGGCACTGCTCAGGGGAACGTAGCATGTTGCCTCCGCCGTTGGAAACCAGTTCAGGTTAAATGGTGTTGTATGACCTGCCAATTCCATTGTAGGTATGTATTCAAGAGAAATTAAAACATGCCCACACAAAAACCTGTGCGCAGATGCTTATAGCAGCACCATTCATAATAGCCAGAAGGCAGAGGCAACCCACATGTCCATCAGCTGATGAATGGTTAGATAAAATGGACTCTGTCCATACAATGGCATATGATTCAGCCATAAAAAGGAGAGAAGTGCCGCTACATCAGCAGGGGTGAACTTTGAAAGCACCATGCTAAGTGAAAGAAGCCAGTCACAAAAGGCCACACACTGTATGATCCATTCAGGTGAAAATGTCCAGAGCAAGGACATCTATACAGTTGGAAAGTAGATTAGTTATCCCTTGGGGCTGGAGTTGGAGGTGGGTTTCTAAAAAAGTAATAAAGCTGATAGGATTTCTTCCTGAGCTGATGAAAATTTTCTAAAATTGACTGTGGCGATGGTTGCAGGAGTCTGTGAATGTACTAAAAATAATTGAATTGTACACCTTAGGTGGGTGAATTGTACAGTATGTGAAAAACATGCCAATAAAGCTGTTAGGGAGAATAGAGGCTCAGGGGAGAAAAAACTGGGCCCTGGCCTACCTCGCTGCACCTGTGTTCCTCCCCCGGGTCATTCCCCATATCCCTGCCAACCCTGCATTCTGTGTTGATCTTTCCTTGCTTTAATTGTGAAACAGTTTTATGTCATGTACGAATTCCTGAACAACATATGTTAAGTTGGTTTTGATTTATAAAAAAGTAATATATAATCTCACTTTTTTTTCTTTACCTTTTTTTTCCTTCTGGTCCTGGAGATTCAAACCCAGTGCTTTACCCCTGAGCTATATCCCCAGCCCGTTTTATTTTAATTTTGGGGCAGGGTCTTGCTAAGTTGTCCAGGCTGGCCTCAAACTTGTAATCCTCCTGCCTCAGTCTCCTGAGTTGCTGGGATTACAAGCATGCACCATCTCACCTGGCTAATCTCGCTTTCTTTAAACTCAATGTTAAGCTTTTGAGGTCACCCATATTGTTATTTGAAGTTATATAATAAATTTTGGCAAATATTCCGTCATTTATTTAGCCATTCCCTATTGACAGGCATCTGAGTTGCCGCCTGTGTTTTGCTGTTTCCAACAATGCTGCTTTCAAAGCGCTTTCTCTTGAGCCTGGGCAGGACATCTGTGGGAACGCGAAGATGTCATATATTTTATTGGCAAAAAAACAAAGACTGTTTCTCTGTCATTTTCCATGTTGATGGTGTATACCTTCGTGTTCTTTCATCTAACCCAAGATGAAGTGACTAATTCTGAGAGTCTTGCTTCTCATCTATTTAAATTCCAAAGCTAATGTGTTTACTTTTTTTTTTTTTTTTGGTCCCAGGGATTGAACCCAGGGGTGGTTAGCCACCGAATCACATCCCCAGCCCTTTTTAATATTTTATTTAGAGACAGGGCCTCACTGAGTTGCTTAGGGCCTTGCTAAGTTGCTGAGGCTGGCTATGAACTTGTGATCCTCCTGCCTCAGCCTCCTGAGCCGCTGGGATTACAGGTGTGGGTCTAATATGTTTTCTGATGTCTTAGTGGGAAAACACTAATCTAAAATTCACAACTGAGTTCCCCAATATGATCTCATTACCCAGTCACTCATGAGCACCTCCTTTTAGACGTCGTAGGTTTAGGATAGACAACCTTATGAAATCAAAGGGGCATTACTTCAGGCAAGGTACAGGAAGGGTCACTAAGCTTCACTAAAACATTCCATATATTGTGAACCTTGCTGCAGTCCAGGATTCTACTGTGATTTAGTTTTGTTGTTCTGATAACAACAAGCTGATCAGTTATTTGGGCAGCTTCTGATTTAGGCTGTGAGATTTTGCAGTTTATTCAGATATTATGACTTAGGAAGTGGCGGAGGGGGAGCACCCATAGGCCAGAACAGGCCATTATAAAGCATTTAAAAGAATTTCTTTTTGTTGTGAGAAGAGACACACAACATAAAATTCACCATCTTAATCATTTTCAAGTATACAGATTTCCAATGAAAATGACTTTTTACTTGTGTTTAGTAACTGTTTGACTAAGTCCCTTCACATTGTTGTGCAGCTATCAGTACGGTCCACCTCCAGAGCCTTGTCTTCATCCCAAGGTGAAGCTCTGTGCCCATTAAAGGACGGCCCCCCTCTTCCTCTCCCCCAGACCACTCCACTTTCTGCCCGCCTGAATTTGCGCATTCTGGGTTCCTTCGTGCAAGTGATACCATATTCCACCTTTCATTACATGAGCTTTTTTGTCCAGAGGAATTTTGTCTTGTTTTATTTTTCTCTTTATAGATTCTTTTTCTACTCAAGGAAAACATGGCTTCTTCTCCCAAGAAATTATTTAATAGTTTTCCCCCTCTTTAAATCTCCAGCCCTACACAGAGATAGACACACTAAGCTGCCTAAAAGCCGAACTTCTGAGTAACGAATGGGGTCTTCATCAGCCCTGTCTAGTAACTGGACATCTGTCTAAGAGTCCTGGCTTCTCATTGGCCTCTTTGCCAGGTGAAGAAGGTTCTGCTTCAT